CGTAGTTCAGTTGGAAGAGCATTGGGCTAGTATTCCAAAGGTCGTAGGTTCGAATCCCACCGTGGCCGGGCATATTTTTCAAGTTCGCCCGGTGTGGATATACACTCAGAGTAACACCACAAATATATCATATTCACCTGAGTACATTACACCAACACAGAAAAAAATTCATATTACTAGAAAACATTGGTATTGAAGGAACTAGATTCTGTTCCGAAATATCACTTACTCGAACCGTCCTGACCGCGTAGCTCAGTTGGAAGAGCATTGGGCTAGTATTCCAAAGGTCGTAGGTTCGAATCCCACCGTGGCCGGGCATATTTTCCAAGCTCGCCCGGTGTGGATATACACTCAGAGTAACACCACAAATATCATATTCACCTGAGTACACTACACCAACACAGAAAAAAAAATTCATATTACTAGAAAACATTGGTATCGAAGGAACTAGATTCTGTTCCGAAATATCACTTACTCGAACCGTCCTGACCGCGTAGCTCAGTTGGAAGAGCATTGGGCTAGTATTCCAAAGGTCGTAGGTTCGAATCCCACCGTGGCCGGGCATATTTTTCAAGCTCGCCCGGTGTGGATATGCACTCAGAGTAACACCACAAATAGCATTTTCTGATTTTCATATATTTGTTTGAGCGCTATAAAGGTATTTTTGAGCTATGTTTTATTTGCTAGTTTTCGTCGTTTAGATTATTTTGGTTTCGTCACCGAATATTATTTACGGAAAAGCATATTTAACAATCGCTTTAGAACTACTTTATCGGTAACCCCCACCCCCAGAAAAAATGCTTATAAACCCAGTTTATATGATATTTGTTTAGAATATGGTATTAAAGACGTTAAATTCATCTTTATTATTTTTTGAAACAAGTAAACAAATCAAAAAATTTTCCCGCCAAAACTTACGGTTGCCAGTAAGAGTTCAAGCGGCTTGTTTTCTTAGCTTTTTCGATGAAATTTGTGTTGGTACAAGTACTTATTAATATTTCCAAGACTTCTTATTCTTAAAAATGATCCAAGGATACTTTTTCTTCACATAACGACCTTATAAACGTATAAAAACGTTTATAAACGTGTAAAAACATACGGGAAACCGGTCTGGATACGGGAAAATACGGACCACGGTCCAGATACGCATTTTACGGACCGCACGTCGACCAATCAGAATCCAGGATTCTGCAAAGCCATATAATAATATTTATTAAAACGAGCTTTCGGATGTGCCATTATTTATTTAACGAGATACACGGATGTGTCATGGGCAGCCCAGTTAGCCCGGTAGTTGCTAACCTTTGCATGGAGGAAATTGAAGATTTGGCGCTCCGAACAACACCTACTAAACCAAAGACATAGAAACGTTTTGTTGATGACAATTTCTCTATCATCAAGAAAACTGCCATATCTACTTTTTTGACACATTAAACGACATCGACCAAAACATTAAGTTCACTGTAAAGCACGAAGAGAACAACAAAATCTCGAGGCAACAATTCTTTGTATTTTATTTTCTCCATTACATCTTAATTCACACCTGCGTAATGTGACGAAAAAATCTTAGCCTATATATACTCCCTGTATGTACACTTTCTTAGGAGGTTTCTATACAGGCATATTCTTCATATTTTTTTAGGAAACTAGCGGAAGTGAAGAAGAAGATGGTGAAGAAGAGGAAGATGAGGAGGCTGAACGAGAACCAGTATTAAAATATGAAAGAATTGGAAATGCCGTGTCCAAATTATTTACAAATGATGCCGCAAGCTGTATGGCTGTTCATTCTAAGGTATGGTCTCCTAAAGTGTGGAAAATCTGAAATTCGCGCATGACTAACCGTGTTTCTAGCCCCAGACATAATTTGGGCACACATGCACGTTATCTTCACTTGTTCTCATGAAATTGAAATACATGCCTGCCATTTACTAGGACAAATCATAGTTATTCAGCGAGAAAACATTGCCTTTTGGAGGTCGCTATAGATTTCTTAGGGAAAGAATTTTTACATTGGCCAAACGTCTAGTTCAGGGGAAAGTCATTTGCGCGTAACATTTGTGTAAAGCCGTCAGCCTGTATATATAAGAAGTTTTAACGTCCAGTATTTCTCTTCGTTCAAGGTGTGTGGAAAATGCTTTTCGATATTTTATTTGTAGTTAATATATACATTCATGTTATAATACAACTCCAAACCGTATGTATTTGTTTTCTCCACTATATAGTATATATATAGTATACTTGATTACTTTTCTTGTAGTTTTTGGCTCTTGGAACCCATTTTGGCATTGTTCATATCCTTGATCACCAGGGAAACCACATAATAAACAAAGAATTTCCTTCCGTATGTGTTTTCTTTAAGCTATAATAATTTAAATACTAAAGCAATTTAGTTTAGTTGATGTCCTTGCTTAGAATGAAGATACTCGATGTTCAATTTTAAAATTTTGTTTGTCTTTTTCCAGCACACAACAACAGTGAACCAAATAAGCATTGATAATAATGGTGACTACATTGCTAGTTGTTCAGATGATGGAAGGGTGAGATAAAATTATCGATATCTACATTGAGCTGCGGCCATTGCTTCATACTCGTTATCGATACTACACAGCCAGAAATCTCACAGGCCTGTCGCAAGCTGTTGATTTTACCGGCTTGCGGCAAGTTGTCAACAAGTCGCGACAGGTCTGTTGGTTTCGTCAGGCGGTAACAGGCTTGCGGTAACAGGTCTGTCGCAAGCTGTTGACAACAGAGCCGTAGCGACTTGTTGAAACAACCCGCTACAAACCTGTTACTAACAAGAGATAACAGGTCTGATACAACAATTTGCAGCAAGTCTGTTGAAATCAACAGGTCTGTTACAACCTGTTCCAACAGACCTGTCGCGAGTTGTTTTTGTCAAGTCTGCAGCAAGCTTGTTATCAGACCTGCGACAAACCTGTCCACAACAAACAATTTTTTTCCTGTCACAACAAGTTTCAACAAGCCTGTTGTAGGGAAACAAATCGAAAATGTGAGTAAAGAGATATAAAATCGCACGAAATGGACACTTCCGGCTTCACTTTCTCATTTAATCATTGTCATTGGTGGCGATATTAAATCACATAGGAGAGATTATAGTCCGTAGTATCTATTCTCTGATTATTATAAAATGCAAAAGCCGCTGTTTTATTTTTTTTAAAAAAGTTCCGATTTCCAAAATCCAAATTCCAATTTGCTGACGTGTGCTATCGCTATATTTCTTTAATCTGATTGGATAAACGCGTGTGCACACGTCATCATTCCTCGTTGCAATTGGGCGAAATATTACAAACATATCAATCACGTAATCATGTTTAGTTGTTTTTGAATTTTGAGCCAAACAAAATTTCAACAACTGCCTCAAACAAAATCAAACAAGTTCAAAGCTGTTTTGATTTTTGAAGAAACTGTACTAAGCAATGAGAATACAAGATCTAGAGCTTAAGAAATGAACAATACATGAACAACCGAGTGTTCACTGCAACGTTCGTCATTGCTGATATGAACATGAAATTCGTTATATAATTTCTTTCCAATTTCAAGTGAAATCTGCGAGCGAGGAAGACGCCTTATTGAAGCTTTGTGTTATGGTATGTACTGTTTTGAAGAAAAATATGCAAGTAGGTTGTCATATTTCGGTC